TCAGGAGGCAGAGGCAGGCAGATCTCTGTGAGTTCAAGGCCAGCCTGGTCTACAGAGCAAGATCCAGGAAAGATGCAAAGCTACACAGAGAAACCCTGTCTTGAAAACACACACAAAAAAAAAAAAATTAAAAATGGGAAGATGTAATCTATGATATGGCCCCAACAGAACAGAAAAACCTAGTAACAATTGAGAAACTATGCATCAAGAAATATCAATAAAAATTTATCCTTAATTCAAAAAGTATTGCATAAAGAATGGAGGTTTTTGGTGTTCTTTTTTTGGGGGGGTTTCTCTGTGACATATCCTGGCTGTCCTGGAACTCACTCTGTAGAGAAGGGTGGCCTCAAACTCACAGAGATCCACCTGCCTCTGCTTCCCCAGTGCTGGGATTAAAGGCGTGTGCCACCACTACCTGGTTTAAGAACCGAGATTTTATTGTCTAGTGTGCCGATGGACTTAACTGAAATAAGATAGAAGTCTCTGGAACATTTGGTAAAGGTCTTAGCAAACAGGATGCTGTGGTTTGAATGAGAACAGGGCCCCCATAAACTCATATGTCTAAATGCCTGTTGGTGGAACCATTTGGAAAAAAATAGGAGGTGTGGCTTTGGAGGAGGCGTGGCTTTGTTGGAGAAGGTGTGGCCTTGGAGGAGGCGTGGCCTTGTGTGAGGAGGTGTGTTCACTGGGGGTAGGCTTTGGAGTTGCCACACCCTTTGCCAGCCCGATGTGGATCAGAAATAAGGTCTCAGCTACTGCTCCAGTGCCATGTATGCTGCCTGCTGCCATGCTCCCTACCTTGATAGTCATGAACTCTAACCTCCTGGAACCATGAGCTCCCAAATTAAATGCTTTCTTTTGTTAGTATTTGGTCATGGTGCCTCTTCATAGCAATAGAAAAGTAACTAAGACACAGGACAGGCGGTAGCTACAGAGTTGCAGGATCTTGTTAAATGGAAGCCGTGAAATGTTTAAAGAAATAAAAATCCCTTTACTATTAAAACACAGGTCTAGCTATGGCACACTGTCAAATGACAAGTGTCTATGAGAGAACACCAGGAGCGGCATGCCTCCTGTGATTACTACACAAGCCGAATTCGGATGTGTACTCTTGTGCTTTGACTAAGTTTGCATGGCCCCAGAGACTTCTCATGCTGAGATTTTGCCCACATTAAGACAAACTTCAAACTTCATTTGACTATAGTACTTAGAGGTGAGCCTTTGGAAGGTGAATAGGGTTTGGATAAGAGTAGCATTCCCTTCATCGAATTCTAGTATGCTTGTAAGAAAAGGAAATAAGCCAGGTGAGGTGGTGCATGCCTTTAGTCCCAGCTCTCAGTAGGCAGAGAGGGCAGATCTCTGAATTCAAAGGCAGCCTGGTCTACAGAGTGAGTTTCAGGACAGCTGGGGATACACAGAGAGACCCTGTGTCAAAAAAATGGAGGAGGAAGAGAAGAGAGAATAATCAGACATATAGACAGCTATGCACTCTTTTCTCTTACCCTTTGATGTTCTGTAACACCTCAGCACAACCATCATTAGATGTGGCCCCTTAATCTCAAACCTCCAGAACCAAGAGCCAAAGTAAAATTCTTTTTCCCATAAAGTAGCCTGCCTTGGGGTACGTCATTACAGCAGTGACAAATGAACTAATCACCACCAATAAATGAAGTCTAGGGGGACATTCACTAGCATGTTAGTGACAGATGTCTGTGGCTGAAAAGATATCCTCCCTGTGCGTTGTTCTGAATATCCCAGCAATGATCTTGTGCCCTTTTCCTAAAACTAAAGAGGAGAAAGCAGAAAAAGACTCACAGTCCCAGACACATAAAGAGCTTTGAAGTTACAGTGAAGCTGAGGAAAGTGAGACAGAGGAGGAAGAACGGTTACTAACAAGAAGACCCCAGAATGTGCATCCCGGCTTCCTAATCACCATCATCCGATCTAGAAAGCACCAACCAGAGAGTCTGCAGGAGCGGCTGTGCCTGCGAGTCACTCCTTGCCCATCTCACCTCCGCACGTAGAAAAAAGGTTGTCCTGCTCTTGAACGCAACAGTTTGACCCTGTGGCCTTGTATAAGAAACACTGAAGGGGGCTGGAGAGAGAGTTCAGCAGTTAAGAGCACTTCCGGAGGTCCTGAGTTCAATTCCCAGCGACCATAGGATGGCCCACAACCACATGTAATGAGATCTGGCGTCCTCTTCTGGCCCGCAGGCACACATGCAGATGGAGCACTGTATACATAATAAATACTTTTGTTTTGTTTTGGTTTGGTTTTTTTTTCTGAGACAGGGTTTCTCTGTGTACCTTTGGAGCCTGTCCTGGGACTCGCTCTGTAGATCAGGCTGGCCTCGAATTCACAGAGATCCCCTGGCTCTGGTTCCAAGTGCTGGGACTAAAGGTGTGCGCCACCACCGCCCGGCATAAAAAAAAAATTTTTTTAATACTTAAAAAGAGAAAGAAAGAAAGAAAAAGAAACACTGAAATGTGATGGGTAACGTTCCCAAGATAAATATTGCCCACCAGAAGAAACACGTCACATCATGAATAGAGAGGGCATGATCTGCTACCGTGATTTACTAGGTGTTTCAGTAGGGATACAGAAACTCAGACCACAGAGTTTTGCCTTTAGAGATCTAGGCTTCTAACCTCTCCTTTCCTGGTCTATGACCTAGATTTCTGCTGCCCCCTGGTGGCTCAGAAACCAGAGAGCCCAAAAAGAAATCCTTTCACTGCGTTAGGGGCTTACTCCTCCCTGGGTTTGTCAATCTGTGAAGCTGGTCTGTCTACACACCGACTCCCTTGACTCAACTCAAGAGCAACTTCCCACCCTATCACCTTACACCCCCACTTACCACTGATGTCACATGGGAGAAAAAAAGGAGATTCCTGACAGCAGCAAGAGGTGCTGGCGCCCCTTGGTGTTGCTGGGGAAGGGCACAGAGGGCTCAGATGGTCAAGGAAAGAGGCAGAGAGTGCGGGTCTTTTCCAGCCCCGACATCGGGGTCAGACTCCCGCTGCAAGGAATCTGCGGGTGCCAGGTGAGGGTGGCTTTGCAGTCTGGTCAGAGGTTAATTTGGGGTGCAAAGATGGCAGACAGCTAGTAGGATCAGGATTCATAGGGACCTGCTTCACGGAATTCAGGCTGAAAGGGCTTAACTAGCCCTGAGGAAGGAAAGCTGGGCGTGGCTTCTTTGGGTTAAGACACAACAGTAGAGCAAACAGCCTAGAGATTTCAGAAAGACCTGGAAATTTACATTCTCTCTTGTTCCCTCTCTCTTCTCTCCCTCTGTGTGGGTGGGTGTGTCTCTTGGTGTCTTTCTGTCTCTCTCCCTCCCTCCCTCCCTCCCTCCCTCTGTCCCTCTGTGTGTATATATGTCTGTCTCTCTCCTTCTCTCTTTCTGTCTGTGTGTGTTTGTCTGTCTGTTGCCTGTCTGTGTCTGTCTGTCTGTCTGTCTGTCTCTCTCTCTCTCCCCCCCCCCCTTCCCTTTTTCCCTTGCTATGGACTCAGGCTACACAGGTTAGCCCCCATTGGTGGGAGAAGAGATCTGGCTCACAAGCCCCACCCTCCTGTCCCATTCTCATCTGAAAGAAAACGACATTAAAGCATCTGAAGGTTCCGAAGGCAGACAGCCTCAACTGCTCTAGCTGAAGTCTCTATTCATGCTGATTTTACTTATGTGCATAAAGCTAGACAAGGTGCCATGCACTCGGGGACTCAGGAGACAAGAGACTCACTTGAGCCCGTGAGTTCAAGGCCAATCTGAGCAACATAAGCAACACTCCATCTCAAAAGAAAATGCGTGCTTTTTTATTTTGATGTTTAAGTAAACAATAAAATGATAAGCAAGTCAGTGGATGAGGGATCTCAGCAACTGGTCAGTAGTCCATCAAATATTAGCCCTTCCCAGAGTCATGACTGTCCTGGGCCAGCCACCATAGAGTTCATGGCACAAAGTAGCCACTTGACGTCAGATCAGCCAACTCCAACACATGTCTACTCAGAAAAATGAGTGTTCTCAACACAGTAATATCCAGAATTTCACTTAACATTTTTGTATTTATTACAGTGTGTGTGTGTGTGTGTGTGTGTGTGTGTGTGTGTGTGTGTGTGTGTGTGTGTATAAAAGAGTTTCAATGTCCAACATGAGATGACTGGTTAAATAAATTAGCCATTGCATGGAGGACTAGTAAAGAGTTATGTGTGACACTACAATCTCCATGAAACCTCAGCTCTTGGAGGTAACATGCTGATTTGTTTGGTGCCACATGGTGGAAGAATCAGAAACCATGCCAAAGATCACCCTCAGCTAAGACTCACAGTGGAAACACTTGAGTATAAAGGATGAAAACCAAAGCAGGAGATGGTGGTGCACACCTGCGATCCCAGCACTAGGGAAGTGTGCATAAGAAGATCAGGAGTTCAAGGCCAGCTTCTGCTATATAGAAATTTGAGGCTAACCTGGGATACACAAACTTCAAAAAGCAAAAAAGCAAACAAAAACTATCTTGTAACACACTTGGTGTAAGACAGTGACATTTTTAATATCTGACAGAAAACAAAAGAGGAAAGCAGAAAGCCTTTTTAAATGTGTAGTGACGTTGGTAAGAGACAGGAATGAACACAAGCCTGATGATCTGAGTTCAATCCCCAGGACCCACACAATGGAAAGAGAGAACCAACTCCTCAAAGTTGTCGTCTGAAAGCTACACCTTCACTGTGTACATGCAACTTACACACACACACACACACACACACACACACACACACCAATTATTATTTTTTTAACATTTAAAAGATTTGTTTTACCTTGTTATGCATCAAACAAGTCAGGATGTATTATTTCAAAGATGACTAAACTCATATAAGACTGCCTAAGGTGTTACACATAACTCTTTTACTAGAACTCCATGCAATGGCTAGTTTATTTAACTAGTCATTTCACGTGGGACATTAATACTCTTCTTCATACATGTTACATTTAAGAATCTGCTCTCTTTCTCTAGTCCATAGGCTTCACAATGCCAAAGCCATGCACAGGTAGACCCGCTCACTCCCCCACCTCATCTGAGGCCCTACACAGTACAGACGAGAGGGTCCATGCCAGTCTTTTATTGAGAAAGAGAAGCTCCTGTCCCCAGGGCTGTTCTGTGTGCTCCAGGCAGCAGAGGCAAAGAGGAGAAGGCCTGATATCTGTGGGAGTGTCACAAGGCCCAGGACATCACCCCTTCTTGGCTTCCAGAAGATTCCAGACAAGTCAGAACAGCTAGGGTGCTTGGAACTCTGCAAGGAGAAGACATTTCAGGTCACAGCTGTACCTTTCCAGCTCCAGCTACCCAGCTGTTTCCCTTCCTCCCTGGGGAGCCTCGATGGACTTCCTAACTAGTTCTGAAGACTCTTATGATTTAGAAGTTGGTCTCATATCTCCTATTATCAAATAGGAATGGTATCTGCTCTGTTTTTGTTTTTGTTTTTTTTGTTTGTTTTGTTTTGTTTTGTTTTGCCCTGCCCCCAGCCCTCATGGCCCCCACACACCACATGTATTCCCACCCTCTGAGACATGTCACGTCTGCTTAGGCTTTAGAGCCTGGATCAAATCCTATCTCTCCCAGAAAGACCTCACCAGAGAGCCACACCCACTGTAAACACGGCAATCCCACAGTGTCCATATGAGGGGTGTGGTCTATGACTCATGATCCTTCTAACTACATTCTTCATGGCCTTCAGAAGCCGCCTTCCCAGGAGCTAACAGGGGAGTGTTAACAGCAGTGAAACCTGTTAACTTCACAGCTGGCCGAAGATCATCATAGGCAATCCTCACCTGATTCAGGTGTAGACCCATTGGTGAAGTTGGAGTCTGTGGGCAGGCGGAGCAGCTGGAGTCGGGGGACGCAGAAGCGGCCACATCCTGACTTGCAGCACTTTTCCCCAGGCTGACAGTTCTCATCCACCATGCAGTTGACAATACACAGGCCCACCAGAATTCTGGGACAATGACCATCCCGCCCTGGGGAGAACACCAGCACAAGGGAAAACACAAGGAGCTGGCTCCTCTCTTCCCAAATTCCCATCGACAGCTTTTAGACTCAGGTTCCAGGGGAATCAACCCCGACTCCCAACTCAATGGGGCTGGAGGCAGGGAAGCTGGAGGGCTGAGACACCTCTGACATGGGAGGTGTCAAACTCCCAAAGCCAGTTCCTGAGAGCTTGGTAGAATGCAGAGAGACAAGGTCCTGCCTTCTCCCTATGATTAAGTTCCATGTCACTGCCTGGTCTGGCACTCTAGAAGAAGATTGATGCCCCTGCTTTGTGCATCAGTGGAGGGGGGAGGGTATTATGGTGTGTGTGTGTGTGTGTGTGTGTGTGTGTGTGTGTGTGTGTGTG